AAGGGGTAATTGAACCATCAAACAGTCCATGGACATCACCAGTAGTACTAGTAAAGAAGAAAGATGGTTCAACACGTTTTTGTATTGACTACCGACAGCTCAATGCGGTAACTAAAAAAGATAGTTATCCTTTGCCGAGAATAGACGATACATTGGATACACTTTCTGGTTCTCGTTGGTTCTCCACACTCGATCTAAAAAGTGGATATTGGCAAGTAGACATGGAGCCAGCCGATCGTGAGAAAACCGCATTCTCGATAGGATCAGGGCTTTGGCAGTTTACAGTTATGCCCTTTGGTTTATGTAATGCTCCGGCCACATTTGAAAGATTAATGGAGGCAGTTTTAAGAGGACTAACATGGAAAACATGCCTGGTTTATTTGGATGATGTAATTGTAGTTGGAAGATCCTTCGATGAACATGCCAATAATCTGACTGAAGTCTTTCAACGATTGCGGGCAGCGAATTTAAAGTTAAGTCCGAAGAAATGTCACTTGTTTCGAAGAGAAGTGAAGTACTTGGGACATATTGTAGCAAGTAATGGAGTAACAGCTGATCCTGAAAAACTTGCAGCAATTAAGGATTGGCCAGTACCAAGAGATAAACACGAAATTAGAAGTTTTCTTGGACTTTGTACATATTACCGACGTTTTGTCAAAGGATTTGCCAACATCTCCAAGCCATTAACAAAGTTGACAGAAGAAGGCAAAGAATATACATGGAGCGAAGAGTGCCAAAAAGCTTTCGAACACTTACAAATGGCTCTGATCAGCGCACCGATTTTAAGCTACCCTAGACAGGCAGGGAAATTTGTGTTGGACACCGATGCAAGCAACAGTGCAATCGGAGCTGTTCTCTCCCAAATCCAAGATGGGCAGGAGAAAGTCATCGCTTACTTTAGCAAAGTCTTGTCGAAACCAGAAAGAAACTATTGCGTTACCAGGAGAGAATTGCTAGGCGTAGTAAAGGCTTGCGAGCATTTCCATAAATACTTATACGGCAGAAAGTTTCTTCTTCGCACGGATCACGCTGCTCTAAAATGGCTCCTACAATTCCGTAATCCAGAGGGCCAGATGGCAAGATGGTTAGAACGATTACAAGAATATGATTACGAGATCGAACACAGGGCTGGAAGAGTTCATTTAAATGCTGATGCGCTTTCGAGAAGGCCGTGCAGTGAACATTGTAATCACTGTCTTAAATTAGAAGAAAGACTTTGCCCCGTGAGACGAACCACCGTCATTAATGATCAATGGCAGCCTCAACAGCTACAAGACGCTCAAGCAGATGATCCATGTATAAAAAGAGTATTGGATTGGATGCGTCGAAGTGAAAGACCCTCTTGGCAAGACATTAGTGCATGTAGTCCTGAAGTCAAGTGTTACTGGAGCCAATGGAATTGCCTAGTGTTAAAAGATGATCTTCTTTATAGAACCTTTGAGAACGATGATGGTACAGAATCTAAGCTTCAGTTGATTGTACCTAAAAGTAAAGTGTCAGAAGTATTGCGTCAGTTACATGACGGTGCATCAGGTGGACACTTTGGTATTACGAAGACTCTGCAAAAGGTTCGAGAACGGTTCTATTGGGTGAACTGTAAAGATGATGTAAGAAGATGGTGCCGGAAATGTGAACTGTGTGCAACCAGTAATGGTCCAGTTGGTAAAAAGAGGGCACCCATGAAACAGTACAATGTTGGTAGTCCTATGGAAAGAGTAGCAATCGACATTGCAGGTCCACTTCCAGAGACAAACGATGGAAATAAATATATCCTGGTAGCAATGGATTATTTTACAAAATGGACTGAGGCCTATGCGATACCAAATCAGGAAGCTGCTACCGTTGCAGAGGTACTTGTTAAAGAATTCTTTAGCCGATTTGGTGTTCCCTTGGAGATCCACTCCGACCAAGGGCGAAACTTCGAGTCGACCCTTTTCCAAAACGTTTGTAAATTGATTGGTGTCAATAAGACCAGAACGACACCCCTGCATCCTCAATCAGATGGAATGGTCGAGAGAATGAACCGAACGATGGGTAAACACCTGTCCAAAGTTGTATCAGAACATCAAAGAGATTGGGACCAGCACATTCATTTATTCCTAATGGCCTACCGCTCGGCCGTGAATGAAACTACCGGCCAGACTCCAACCTGCCTGATGTTAGGTCGTGAAGTTCGTTTGCCCTGCGACCTAGAGTTTGGCTCCAGACCTTCCGAAGAACATGTTGCAAGCGAAGATTATGTCGACCGCCTGAAGTTAAGAATGAACAACATTCATGAACTTGCCCGACAACACATCCAGTTAGCCAGTGACAGAATGAAAGATCAATATGATTCTCGATGCAAAAATGAAAGCTATAAAGTAGGTGATCTTGTTTGGCTTTATAATCCACAACGTCGTCGTGGCTTGTCTCCTAAACTGCAAAGACAATGGGAGGGTCCGTATGAAATTAAAAAGAGAATAAATGACGTAATATACCGAATTAAAAAGTTACCGAAAGGTAAACCAAAAGTAGTTCACATAAATCGGCTTGCACCTTATGCTGGCTCAAATGAAACAGAAGAAGCACGAATCCTTCAACATGAGATCAAAGATAAACGGCGACCAAGCTTTAAGGAGTTTATGTCAAATTACACAGAGAGAAAGAATGCTAGATTCGGCGTGACGACAGAAGTTCAGCAGGATCTTTTTAGTGTTCCGCATAACGTCTCTCTAGCCCACTGTGTTGCCCAAGATCTTGAGATGACTAAAGGAATCTCATCTGTATTTTATAAGAAGTTCGGTCGTTTGGACGAGTTAAAAAACCAGCAGCCTAAAGTTGGAAGAGTACTGAGATTAGAAGATCGTTCTCGATCTTTGCTGTATATGGTGACCAGGAAGTCGTATACAGACAGGGCAACCTACGAGGATATATGGTGTGCTCTAACTAATTTGAAGAAAATCGTCTGCAATTACGACATTAAGAATTTGGCCTTACCCAAGATAGGCCATGCACTAGATAATCTGGATTGGAAGATTGTCAGAAGCATGCTAGAAGTGATCTTCCGAGAAACCGGTGTAAGAATTACCGTGTGTTGCACTAATCCAAAGAGATTGTGTCCTTCAAAGACAGTAGACTGTTATTTCTTTCTGAGGGGTTCATGCAGAGCTGGAGAGTCCTGTAGATTCCGCCATCCTGGGCCTACATATAGAGTTGCTGATCGGGACGCTCAGATCTAAGAGGGGAGCAGTGTTACGAACGTGCATTTAACGAGGCACGTATAACGGTTGCATCTCGAAACAGCACCTCATGCTTCCATGCGGCGCGGCGGCATCTCGAAAGCGACTCGATATTTCGAGAAAGATCTGTCGCGTTCGCCTAGAGGTGGGAACTTTCTAGAAAATAGTAACTTTAGTATATATATGTAACGATCTTAGGAATAAGTTTAGTTGATAAGAGAATACCGAACTGTAAAGTTATAAATAAATATATTTATATAAATTCGAACCGCTCGTTTTATTTAATCACGTTACAATATTAATATTAAGTAATTAAATATTGCGCCTTGCTTAAAAAAAGTACGAGATAAATAACTCGTTTTTTACATGAAAGTGCAATTTTCTTGCAAATGCCTTGAGAGGGGAAATTTCCAATATAACACCAACCAAAAGACAAAAATATTAACTTAGGTACATGCAATCATTATCACTGCTTAGCGTATTTTCATGGAAATCAACCGCTATGCTGACTAGTATTTTTTTTTAATTGTGATGAATAAATAAAGTATATATTAAATAAAGGGTATTTTAAATAAATTTGTAATATTTTATGCGAAAAGAAGAAAAGACTCAGTTCCGAGTCGTGAGCGTATTCGTTATATTTTCTTTAATTGTGTTAAGCTACTCGGATGTAAGTCGTTATAATTATTCAAAAAAATGAATTTACAATATTTTTTATTAAATCAAATGAGAAATGTTATAGCAAATTAAGAACTAAGGAAAAAAAAACAAACTTTCATTTCCTAAATAGCAAATTGTTTCTGAACAGTTAAGATTAACTTCCAAATAAAATTTGGATAATATTGTAAAGGCTTTTATATACTGAAATTAAATTAAAAAAGAACCTGAAAAAAGTGGAAAAATAATAAAAAATTCCCAAATTTAAATATATCTCGAAAACAAAATACGATCTGGAAAAAGAATACCGGAAATGTTTAATTTTTTTGAGTTCTTCGATTGTGTAGTACCTTCAATTTCAGTTTTTTTCAACAATACTCGAGTATTCCGATTAAGTACTCTCAGCCTTATAAAAATTTCCAAGAAATTAATATCGGATGAAGTTTCAACAAGCGAAATGAAAATCCTAATATTAAAACAGCATTATCACCAGGTACAATATCTGACTGTTATGCAAATTAGTAGGTAATTAGAATTAGAAAGTCAGTATGGGCAAAACCAGCTTATTCAAATTATAGGTACCTACCTTTAGTCTTGTATTGAAGGATTTTAATTTATTACCCTTAGCATACGTAAAGATATAAAAAACGAGTTTATCTCGTACTTTTTTTAAGTAAGACGCAATATTTAATTACTTAATATTATTCTTAATATTAAAAAATAGTATTAAAAGCTTTAATAATATTACCAATATTAAAAACTTTAATATATTATACATTATAATATTAATATGAATGAGTAGAAACGATTACATTTAAATTTGGCAAACTCCAGCCGACTATACGAACACAAGTACGATTGCGCGAAGCAGTGGAATTTGGATGCCAAATTCTCGGTCTGTAGATCCTTGTATACAATAGCGCTGATTTATGGGGGTGCACTTGTCCTACGAACCCACCCTATGATCTACCTAAGAACGGTCGTTAGAGGGTTTTCTGGCATCTCAAGACACTTTTAATCGAGACAGCGTACTGTAATAATTTTGAGTTTATCATGTATATGAATGTATATGAATCAGCCTTTGTATTCCGACGCGCAGATGCTACTAATCTACTGCTTACTACAATGAATACACCATATTTCAGAGGTAATTGTTTTTTTTTGTACAGATAACAGCAATAAGCAATGAGTTAAGTCAGCCATTTTTCGGGATATTTAAATTAATTGCTCATTTATTCAGAATCCAAATATTTAATTTTTCTTCGTTATTATTCTTATTCATTTACACTGCGACCTTTAGTTTTGCACAAAACAAAAAGTATTTAAAAAAATATAAGTGAAGTCAGCGAAATATATTTAAAAGTCACGATTTTGTTATTACGTATTGAGTACAACTGCAGATTAAAAATTTTTTTTTTAAAATCCAAAAAAAATATTAAGACATATTTTAAAAATAAATTTCATACATCAATGTATAATAATAATGTACTGAATTGTATACATAACAATACGCAATTCGTCACATCAGTTAAACAAGCATCTAGCATGACAGAACAAATTCCTGTTCTACCAAGGCGGTTAATTCCTATTCAACATTCCTAAATAATTACCGAAAACAAATACAATTGTTATGCAAACTAGAAGCGACCTTTAACTTCATATTACAAAACCGCATCTTTGTACTGACAAGCTGCAACACGTGCAGGTTGTGCACGTTAAGCTCAGGTCGTAATTAATGACAAGTTAAATTAATAATTAGAGGTGCTCCCTAAAATCGTTGTAGGCATTTACAAAGTACAACGCATTAATGTATTTAATGTGTTCTGTATGAGCGAATATATTAAACAGAAAGTAATATGTCCACAGTTTACCAACGTAATTGGATATTTTGATTAAATATTAATAGAAAGTGAAATGAAATATCCAAATTACTCCAGACGTCAGAGACGAAAATACCACTGAACCTCTAAAAATTATGCGAACAAACTGAATTTTGCCAAGAATATTAATTTTTTAAACCCAAAAAAAGGCAAATAAATTTACCACTTTTACCCCGGGCTTTTCCCTAAAACCCCCTCGTAGGGGGGTAAAAACGCAAAAAAAATCGATTCGCCAACAATCTGTGCGCCGCAGAAAAAAAATTAAATACGTTTAGATTTCTTTGTTTAGATGGCTTTAAGATTTAAATCTAAACTAACATAAACCTTTAAATTATTTTTTATTAAAATAAATTAATGAATACAGTATTATTAATTAAACGTGTCGTTTTAATCACAAAATATGATTGATTGACAAATGGTGGTAGTTCATATTTCTTTCCTAGATGGCGTCGTTAGTTTACTATACAAAAGTATGTATGTATGTATCACTTTCCGGTCTCATACTATTAATACGTCCCAACCAGAAGATTTGCTTTTTTATTTAAGGATATATATATATATATATATATATATATATATATATATATATATATATATATATATATATATATATATATATATATTGTCCATAATCATGAAACACGTAATCCTAAAATTTGCCAGGCACTTTATAATCAGCAGCTAGGTAGACAACTCAAAAAGGCTAACCGATTGAGCTAATTTTAAATTTTTTTCAGAAGAATAGTAATGCCCAATGTAGTTATTGTATTAGTAAGCATAGCAGTTATTCAACCACAAACACAAGAACAACACTAGGTTACTTTGGCATTATAGTGATCTATAAGTCACATATGGTTTTATTTAAAAGAATTAAATTTAGGTTTGTACATGCACCTTCGTTTTAGATTTATTTAATATGAAATACTTTGATCATCCCAACGTCACTTTTGTGTTATTGTATTACTTTACTTTATTTCCATACTATCCAGAATCACAGAATTCAGACATTATGCAGACCTAAGAACTGACGAAAAGGGATCATTACCTTCAGTTCACTTTAAACTACACTTATAACTACTATTAGTATTTAACATGTTTTTAACATAAAATTTTTTAATGTTTAATAGCTTTACTGTGTTGTTTAATAGGATTTTTTGTTCTAGGTTATGTTCATCCCAAATCACATACCCGCCATCCACACACATCGAGTGCCCACAGACGATCCATCCGAGCTGACATCCGAACAAACCTAAGCCATGACGATGTCGAATATTCCGATGTATATTCCAAACAAGGCGACCAGCTCGTTCTGGAATGTGCAGTAAACATCAATTTTAGTACCAGCATTTGGTTAAAAGACGGACAAATAGTGCAAACTATTCTCAAAGACAATACAAATAACAAAAGAGTGATCGGACATAGATTTTTAGTGGATGTTAGTGGAAATTTGTTAATAGACAATGTGAGGTTAGAGGACGATGGAAAGTGGCAATGTGAGGCGGAGGATGCATTTGGCTTTGTTGTTCAGGGAAAGCCAATACAGTTAACGATTCTAGGTAAGTTATTATTTTTATAAAGTTTTCCATGTTATAATCAAAGAAATCAGAGATTTTCGGGAGGATATAAACACTTTTCTTAACGGTATGGTACTTGTATGAATATTAAATCTGAAACCTTAGATCCATTAGGTCAATATTTATTTTGATCAATATTTATCTTATTTGTGATTTGATTTCGGCAATGTTTATTATAAGTTCTTTTTGTATTTCTCAGAAACAACTTTAGGCAATTTGTTGTATAGAGAACAGGATATTGTACGTTACATTGCATGAACACCTTGTTCTTTCTGTTTAAAGGTTTGTGCTCTGGACATTTATTTACAATTTTTACATATTTTAGGAAGAAAGCTAATAACAATATTATTCCCCACCGGAATATGCTTACTCGAGGGCTCTTGTTAACGAACGTTTTTTTCAACGGGTAACGGGCCGATGTTATACGGGTAGCCGTATCGACGGTTCTTAAATTTCAAGGGATAATCGTCCGTTGACAGTATGGAATCTCCGAAATATCGTCAGTTTTAAAGTAACAAGTGCCCGCAATACATGTTATATCATGTTGTCGTCAAAGCAAAAAATTATACTAGCTTATTATTTGTATAAAAAAATGCAAAAGAAACGGGAGAAGCCTAAAAGCAAAATATGAATTCATCCTATTTTGCTAGAAAGAAAAAAGTATGGTGCTTTCCATACACTTTACGAAGAATTGAAACAAGACGAAACAAAATTCTTCAATTACCGCACTTATTAAAATCTTTGTATCAAAATCCATATTTTAGCGGCAACAAAGAAAGAAATTTATTGAAACAACGGATGCTCGTTCAACGTCGTTAACACACTTGCATTACCTAAAATGGTTCACTGAGTATTCAACGCACCGGCCCGACGAACGTCTTACCGAGGGGGACTGGATACGTAGACGGTGAAAAGTTAACCAACGGATTGGTTGCCGTTGCGTGAACAAACATTCATACAAACCTGAAAGACACTGAGCAACAGCCAACGGGACCGTTTCAAAAACGACTTGTTGACCGTTGTCGTTAACAAGAGCTCTTATGATACAAACCATGCCACGTCAATCAGGTAGATATAGTTTTAACTGAAACTTGCCGCATTACCGCAGGCTGATTATTCTTAATATCCAATCAATAAGGTGTTCTGCTTAGCTGGCATAGTATGCCTAACAATAGACGTTAAGTAGCAGATCGTTTCACACACACACGCTGTCTATAGCTAACAACATGCCCCCCATTGAACCCAGGCAAAGTTTTCTGCATATCATTCTGCAGACTGATCTTGTAGAGAGCTCAAAAATAGAATAGCAATGAATGAATAATGTCCTTTAAGCACCTCGCACGTAGACACAAAGAAGGATGGGCTACATGGAAAGCGCTCAAGAGACTTCTGTTGGAGTGACAAGATCGATAGCCAACATCATCATCATCAGTGGTATTACAGCTCGTCATGAGTCAAAGCCTTCTTTAGAACAATCTTTTATTCGCTCCTGTCTCTGGAAACTCTTTTTCGTGCTTTAACTCCGATGGAATTTAGATCATTCTCCATGTTATCTTGATACCTAAGTTTTGGTCTTCCTCTGGATAGTCTTCCCACTGGTCCTCTTCGGTCGAAAATTTTTCTGATCGTTGATTCTTCATCTCGCCTATTTACATGTCCTATCCATCGAAAGCGTGCTAATTTAATAAATTTTATAACGTCAGGTTCCCTAAAACTTCTGTATAACTCATAGTTGTAACGCCTACGCCACAAACCCTGTTTTTGGACTCCTCCATATATTTTCCTTAAAATTTTTCTCTCGAAACGTCTAAGCAGTTCTTGGTCGTCGTTCTGTGTCAGTGACCACGTTTTTAACACGTATGTTAACACTGGCCTTCTTAGTATTTTATATATGGTAATTTTAATTTTTCTGGGTAGTTTTGGGGCAATCTATTTCGTCAAGCCATAATAGCACTTATTGGCAAGCACTATTCTTCTTTTAATTTTTTCGCTGACATTGTTGTCTTTGGTAAGCAGCGAGCCAAGGTAGATGAAAGTGTCCACACCTTCCAGTTCCGGATCATCAATTACTAGTCTAGGTATCTGGTTGCTTGGTCTACTACAATACATATACTTGGTTTTCTGTGCGTTTATTTTTAATACCATTCTCAATACAGACACCCTTAATGATCGAAATTCTTCCATCAGAGATTCCGTGGACCTAGCAATAATGCCTATATCATCTGCATATCCGACCACTTGTACAGATTTATTAAAGATGGTGCCATTCGTATTATTATGACACTCTCGAATTACTTTTTCTAGTGCAAGGTTAAATAAGAGACACAACAGTCCATCTCCCTGTCTCAGTCCATTTTTACAATGGAAGGGTCTTGAAAGTCGTTTTGGATTCTGACTACACTCTCTATTCCTGTGAGTGTAAGTTCCGTTAGTTAAACAAGATGAAGCGGCATTTGAGATTCCACCATAGCCTGTAGACATTTTTGTCTGTTAACTGAATCGTATGCGGCTTTGAAATCCACGAATATGTAGTGGGTATCTATTCCGAACTCAAGCGTTTTCTCAAGAATCTGCCTGACTGTGAATATTTGATCCGTTGTTAATTTATTGGGTCGGAAACCGCACTGGTAGTTCCCAACTATTTGTTCAGCATAGGGGATCAATCTTCTGTACAATACGTTGGACAATACTTTACATGCCAAGTTAAGTAGGGTGATGCCTCCATAATTATCACACACCATTATATCTTCTTTTTTGTGAAGAGGGTGCATTACACCTAATTTCCAGTCTGCGGGCCTTTTCTTCCGTAGCCAGATTTTGGTTACTAATTTATGCATGCATGTGCAAGATCGACAGCGAATAAAATAAAATGAGGCTTTTCTTGTGAGTCCTGCTTTGCGCTGTGCGAAATGCCCTTGACATCGTCAATTTTCTAAAAATTGTGTAGTAGTCCTATTTTTATTTTTGTCTTGCCCTTATTTTATATACCTATACACCTTTTATAATGAACTTCAATATTTGCATGATGCTTCTGATATGAATAAATAAATAAAACCTCGGTTTAAAGCAAATGATGTCTACTTGAAAATATTAAGTTTTAAACATAATTGATTTCTGCTTGAATGTCCAACACAAACAATTAGTTTTTAGTTAATATCACTTTTTTACTTAATCTGTTGAAAATATAAAACGAAAATTCATTAATTAACTAAACTTTTGTGAGCGAAATCCCAAAGCTTATCTTCATTAAAACACACGAGTTCAAGATGGCGAGCACAACGTAACAGGAATTGCAGGGCGATAACGAATTAAAGGAACAGAACAACAGAATAGAATGGCATACGGAGAGTGTGGATTATCTACGACTCAGTAGATTATAATTAAAATATGTATTTGTGCATATAAATGTGACTGGAACAAATGGTCGGTAGAGGCAAGGTTAGGGATGCTGGGGGCATCGCCTCTATTATGCATGCGTATACGAATTCGACGATACTATCTTGCACAGGACAGATATTTAATTTATTTGACGAGCAGGGTAGCGTAAAATTTATACTGACATTTAAAGTAATTGGTAATAGGAAGGGAAAGTTTATGAAAACTGCATAATCGCACAAAATTGAATAGACTTTTTTCATTAAATAAAAAGGAATTAGTGTGTTTTATGTGTATTTATTAACAGTTTAGGAGATTTAATACTAAAAGTGGTTAAAAATGCATAGACCAAATCAAAAGTATACATGAGAAGATCAATGCAAGAACAACTAAAAGACAACGATAAAAGACTAATTGATATTTGCGAATATAATTTTTTTTAAACATAAACAGGATATAATTAAATATACAGAGACCCAACCAATACAAATTATGAGATGAATAATATATTATCTACTATGTAACAATAAAACACTGAAAACTTTGTTTTCAAACTTCCACAAAATTTATTTTAAATCTTATCACTACAGCTGTTTCGGCTGATTGCCTTTCTCAAGTGATCTATCCTTGGCTTGGGTTTACAAATTTATAGTCTCTAATGAAATAGGTTGAGGAGGGGAGAACTGTTTGTCTCAAGTTGGTCATTCAGAATTATATCTGTGTTTTTTAATTTATTGATTTCCATAGATTCTAACAAAGATAGCTTAAGGCCTTTATTTTGAATGTGAAGAATTTTAAATTTGTCATTAAAAGAATGATTATGATCTAGAAGGTGAAGTGCGTATGTCGAATCTGTTTTTATATTCTTGAAAGCCCTTTTATGTTCTGCTATTCGTTTATCAAAGTGTTTAGCAGTTTGAACGATGTAAGTTTTTGGGCAGTCGCCACATTGAAGTTTGTACACACCACTATGTATGTGTTTTTTATTTTGGCTCTTGTTATTTTTAATATATGTGCCTAGGATGTTATTTGTTCGGAAAGCTGGTGTTATTCTTTTCTTTTTTATGTGTTTGGCAATTTTTGTTGGTATTTTGTCTGTATATGTAATCGAGCAGAAGGTATTGGGTTTTTTCTCTGGTGGTGGAAATACTAATTTCAGGGCTTTCTTGTGTAGTTTTTAATTTAACATTTTATTAATTGTTTGTTCGTTGTATCCGTTGTTTACTGCTATTTGCTTAATTATATTTAATTCTGTCTCAAAGTTGTATTTTGACATCGGAGTTTCTGTTAATCTTTTTAACATACTATGATAAGCTGCTAGTTTATGTTGTGTTAGATGGGATGATGAATTGTGTATAGTCGTGTCAGTATGGGTAGGTTTATGAAATATGGAGAAGCCACGTTTGTTTTGAAGTCTGTTAATTTTTAAATCTAAAAAATTTATGGATTGATTTTGTTCTGTTTCTATTGTAAATTCAATATGACTATGAAGTGAATTAATATACGATAAAAATTGGTCGAGTTGCCTGTTAGTTCCTGTGAAACATACCAGTACGTCGTCTACGTATCTCCACCAATATAAAAACTGTTTGAATACGGGATGTTTT